GAAAAAGCACTCGCATAGCACAGGTGAGGCACTTGGTTTGATCCTCAGCACCACATAAAGATAAATAAATAAAGGTATTGTCCATCTACAACTAAAAAATATTTTAAAAAAGAAAACTTAAAAAAAAAAAAAAACAACAACCATACAACCAAAGCCAGTGTTACAGTTTAGATATGAGGTATTCCTCCTAAAGCTTACATGTGAGACAATGCAAGAAAGTTCAGAGGTAAATGATTAGATTATGACAACTTTAATAGTGGATTAATCCAAGGATATGGTCCGGTACGGTGGCTAGAGTACGTAGTTCACAGGGCGTGTATCTAGAGTATATATTTTGTCCTTGGTGAGCAGGAGCTCTCTGGTTGCCATGTCCTGAGCTGCCTTCCTCTCCAATACCCTTCCACCATCATTTTCTGCCTCATCTTGGACCCAGAGCTATGAAGTTGCACTGAACCTCTGAAACTGTAAACTAAACTAAACTTTTCCTCCTCTACATTGCTCTTGTCCAGTGTTTTGGTCACAGCAACAAAAAAACTGACTAAAACAAAAAGTATAAAGCAAGATGTGGCCAAAAGAAACATTGATCTTAAATCAGTTCACACTTTCTTCTGTTCTTAATGAAATAAACAAAATGGGAATAGACTTTAATTATTAAGTGAACTATTTAAAGCAGCTCACATATGACTCAAAGAAGAGTGACAATTATTTCCTAACTTGGCAATCAGTCAACACTGACTTCCTAATTGTCAGCTGTGGTAATTTTCTAGTTGGGCTTCTCAACAGACCTCTAGCATTTGACAGTGCAGATTACTTCCTTTATTAAGTTCAGGTTCTACTCTTATGGCTTCTGTGGCAGGACTCTTTCCTGTTTTCTTTCCTCTGACCACTCATTTCTTTGCAGATTCCCTTATAAGCCTTACCCAAACCTTAAGAGAGGAACACACACAAGCCCTTTGATACATTGCTCTCCTCAACTCTACATGTTGACCTATACTGTACACACTTCAGTAACCTTATTCACTCCCATGGCTTCACTGCCAACCCCATTTGATGATCCCTGGTTCCCCCAGGCCAGTGCTCTACCCAAGTTCCTGTTCATCATAGTAACCTGCCCACTAGATATGCCAGTGGCAACTCAAATTCCACTTGCGCACAATTGAAACCATCATCTTTTCCTCAAACCTGTTTCTTCTTTCTATAGTCACATTCTTAAGTCTCAACACCACCATTCACCAAGTTTTCCATACCAGAAGCCTAGACTTTTTTTCCTAGAGGAGGGGAAGCAAACTCACATGTTTATGGGGGCAACCAAATACCACATTTATTTTTTAAGAAATGTATGTATAGCTCTTAATACACCAAGCATGTAATTTGCAAATGTGAACTCAATTAATATTCAGAGCAACACTTCAAAGTAAGTACTACTATTATGCCTATTTTATACAGAGGTAAACTAAGACACAAAGAGATCATAGAACTTGTTCAATGTCACTCAGCTAGCACAGGAACTCTGGCTCCTAGGACAATTTACTGCTCCATCCATCAGGCTTCCTAGGTAATAAGGTTTCTATCCCAAGCACTCAATTCTGTCAAAGTAGCATGTATCAGCATAGTATGAGTGGGTATACCTGTGTTCCAATAAAACTTTACTTATAAAATAGGTGATCTTTGGTCAATAGCACTAATATAAAAGTTTTCATCTTTCTTCTACTGAAATAAATTCCAGATGGCCCCAAAACCTTAGAGAATATACAAATACAAATATTGCACAAGAAGACATGAATGAAGGCTTTTGTAACTACACAATAGTAAAATTTTCTCAGCATGAAAAGACTCAATGAATTTGAATACATAAAAGTTAAAAAATCAGTGGGGAAGTAAAATAAAACAACAAAATACCACAACTAAAGAAAAAGAAAATGGTATAAAAGGAATATTTTTAATGAATGTGATGGATAAAATGTTAATTTTCTTTATTTACTTGCAATTAGTTGGAAATGAACCTATCAGTGCCTCCCATGCTGTTAGGCATGGTGTTGGGTGTTTTAAATTTATTATTGATTTAATTATTAGAAATAATTAAGAATATAAGGGATATCAAAGATACAAGAGGCAAACAACAGAAGAAAAAAATATACCTGATCAAAATAAGAGAAAAAGATGATAAATCCCACAAAAACCTACTCAATGAAAATTTACAAAAATCTTTCAATGAACAAACTGGCAAAAATGGTAAAGACTACATGTAGGAGTAGAGTGAGACAGAAACAAATTGGTTGACATCAAAAATTAAAATGTTTAAAGTTAGCCACTGTATTCTTACACACTTATCTTACAGATAATGTCATGTACTCATGCAGAGACTTATGGGAACACAGTTAATCAAATAATTGTTTTTAATTGCAAAAAGTTAGCAATAACCTAAATACTTACCTGTAAAGGAATACTTAAAGAGTGGCAGATCCATTAAAGGAACAGTATGCTGTGAGGTGAATACTGTCAGTGAAAGCTATGTTTACAAGATAATTGCAAGTTACACAACTATATGTAAATATATGGAAAAAGGGAGAGAAAGCAAATGATCCTACTATTTCTGTTAAAGAAAACAATTATATCTATATCTGTATATATAAAGAAAAGGCTATATTTCAAGTAGTTTTTCAGAAAAGGCACTTTTTCAGTTTAAGATGTATATTTAAACTTTTTTTAAAATAACATACCTATATTAATTTAACAGTAATTAAGACACTTAAAATATAAATAAGGAAAACCATAAAGTGATCATATTCCTCAAAAAAAAAAAAAAAAAAAAAAAAAACCTTCCAGAACTTTCCACTGCTGTGGTATAATAGCCCAACTCTCAACATGACCTCTGCCTAACTCTTCAATCTCAGTAAGTACCTCTCCTGTGTGACACTTAAGCCATACTATGTTACTCAAAGTCATACTGCTATTCCCTAAACATGCCAGGATGAACTGGCTTCTTTGCCTTTATAAAGGCTTCAGTCACTGCTTAAAATTCCCCTCCTTAATTTCCCTTCCTAGGTAATGCTCATTTCCCTCAAGCCCCTGTACAGGTAGAAACGATGTATCTTAAACAATCAAACAGACATCTGTAATCATCTGCCAATTAACCTTTCAGTGGCTCCCTCGCTTCAGGCATGCTGTTGGGAGTTTAGATGCATTATGTGATTTCATTCCTAAACCACTGTTATCATTCCTAATATACAGATGTGGAAATAGTATCAATAAAGTTAAGGAACTGCCCAAAGTCTCACTGACTAGTAAATATCACAGCCAGGATCAGAACTCAAGACTGAGGCCCAAAACCAGTTTACTGAAGAGGTTGAGAGGATCTGACTGGATATAAGACAGGCAAGCCAGTCTTCCACAGACAGGGAGAACAAGTATAGGTGAAAGGATTGACCCTAGTCACAGGGTAGAAGATGGAGAAAGGGAAAGGTATGATTGTGGGGAAGAGTTTAACCATTCCAGATTACAATGTTCCTTTAAAACCAGGCAGCTGAGGCAGGAGGCAATATGGAAAAAGAGTAGATGAGTGGAAGTCAGGAAAACTGAAAGCAATATTTTGGCAAAGCTAGTCTGGCAGCTCTGAGTAGCATGAACTGCCACATTGGGGAGAGGGAAGCAGGGAATAAAAGTAGAGAGGACAGTTAGGAGCTACTGCAAAAAAACAATGTCTCCATTTCTTTGGGACTTGAACTAGGAATGATGGCTTAGGAAATGAAGATAAGAAAGCAAATCTTATACGTATTACAAAAGATTCTCTTGGTAACAGATGTTTGACTAGAGCAAAGGATTAGACTGAGAGGCCTCATTTCTTGAGTGACATCCATATGACCATATCTCTGGTCATTCTTAATATGTTAACAACATGACACCCCGACCACTTGTGTAATAACAAAAAATTAACTTCTTTAGAAATGTGATTTCTTGCCTAGTTAGCATAAAGCACAAAGATATGTTTTCAAGGATACCTGTAGAATCAGTCTCTCTAGAGTTACACTATGCAAGTCTCTTTAGAGTTACTAAATTCTTCAGCTCCTTCATCAAACTCCCCCTATGTCTATTTATCATCGCTCCAAAAATATTTTCATTAAGCGAAGTTGGGTACTCTTGGAGGAAATTGTCTGGCTTACCTCTTTTCACTCTGAATTTTCAAAGACAAGTGAACAACATCAATCTTTCCCTGATACTTCTCTACTTTCAAAAGCTTCCCTGTCTCATCGGTTCATCTGACTCCATAACATCACTTAGCACTTTCTGTCCTTCAATAGTACTTGGTTTAACCTCATCATCTGAGAGTGATTCAGGACATACTACCCAAACAGGGTTAGCACAAATAGGTAATGTAAAAGGTGAGCTATAAAATGAGAATAATAATGCTTGTCCTGATTCACAAGGTTGTTGTCACATCCAAAGGACATAATTATGGGTTAATATCCAACTATAGACAAAAAAAAAAAATTGGTTCAATGTGTTAGCATGAGCCAAACAAATAAACAAACCAGTGGTTCCCAACCTCCTTTCAGCAAAGCAGTCCCTACCCCTGTGCCCATGGGACAGTCTCAGGGGCACTCCAAGGAGCAAAACATAGAAGTGATCTGGGAGTCCAGGTAGCCATTGTGGATTCACACGAAGCCCAGCAACTCAATTTTTTTTTTTTTATTCTAGAACTCAAATACTGCATTTTAAAAATGTGGTAGGTATACAAACATTAAAGGCAAAGAAAAAGCAGGTAAACATTCTAATTATAAATGAAAGATTAGTTTTAATACAACAATTCTAGTGTGATACTATTTACAATTCTGTGTAAACAGAATGCAAAAAACAATGATTCTGAATCCTAATAAAGTTGAAGAGAAGAAAAATACTAATAAAGGATTTACAGTTTCAAGCTACTTGGGAACAATAAATAAATTAGCTCTTTAATTAAAATAAAGCTGCAAGTAGGTGTTCACATCAGAAAAACCAAGTACCTGTGAGTTTGATCTTGGAGAGGCGAGCCAAAATCCCTGGCAAATCATCCACATGCAGTTTCATCTCTTTCCACTGCTTTTCCTCTTTTCCCACATCTGTTGGGCTTTCAACGATGGAGGCAGACTCTAGTTCTATTAGTTGCTTTTCACTTGGGTTTCTAGACAAAGGCAGGCTGGGGGTTGAAAGAGATCTCATCTCATATATTTCTGCTTTGGCTTGACCTGACGATATTTTTTCAAGGAAAGGAGATGCTACTGGTTCTGGCTTAGGTTTTACTTGCTGGTTGAGGCTTCTATTCAGCTGCGTCACATACTAAACCAAAAGAAACAAACAAACTCATATGTTACTCTAAAACTAAGCCTTATAATACTTTTAAATGGTTGTTTACTAGCATCTTCCATCAGTAGTTTAAAACTAAATTTGTGAGGTGCTCCATAGTTCACATATCTCATTTAATCTTCTTAAAAGTTGCTAAAGAAGATTAATTATATTAATCTCTCTTTTTAATTTACATATGAGGACACTAAGGTTCTGAAATTGACAAAACCAAGAGCTAATAACCAGATATAAGTAGCTCTGGGATGAGGAACTACCTCAGAGGGTAACTAGTTAAATGTCTTTTTCATTATGTCAGAATGACTTGAAATTACAAATGTCAGCCTTAGATATGACCTACAACTGATGAGTGAATTCAGAGTTGTTTTTTTAGGCATTATATATATTTGAATACAAGAGGATTGAGATAAGTTATCATTGCCCATTATAAAATGCCCCACAAATTACAAAATTTATTTGAGTCTATTCAGAAATCTATGTGTTAAAAAGACTTTCAAATGCACTGCTGATTTAAGAAAATAAGAAGACCATGTTGTTAAAATAATCATTTCTGTATTACTTATGTACTTACAGAACTTCAAAGAATTTAAAAAGATAGATCATAAAAGTTCAGCTTTTCCTAATTTTAGCCCAGTCGAAATATGCCAGAAGTTTTCAATCTTTCTCCAAACTTAATCAATAAGTTCAAGATCATACTTTTAACCTCAAATGCCAGAGTTATTCTGGTTTCAGTTAAGAATAATCAAAACAAGAGATTAAAGTTTTGGATAAACTTAAGAGGACACTAAATAAAAGTCTTTTTCAAACAGTACTTCTAAAACTTTTCTTATAATAGGAATTTCTGAAATTCCCTCATACAGAAAAAAGTATATAGGCAGAAAGCACTAGACTGAGAAACATACCATGCGTCTGAGGAAGTTAAAGTGCTGAAATGTAATCCACTGCTTATTGACATTCCTGAAAAGGCGCATAAACTTGTGAGGGGATTCTTGCACAGCTTTTCTTTCTAGATACCAGACACATCCTCCTACCCAACCTAAAATAGAGAAAGAGGAAGAAGAAATGGTAGCATGATTAATATTTCTCACCAAATGATAACTACACCTGCCCAATAGCAAAGCAAGTCAAAGTAAGTGCTTACTATATGACAGGTCAGAGCTCTGAAATTTTCTAATCCGGAGTTGTGAATGAATGTAATTTATTAGCCTTCTAGTGGTTTAAGTCAACATAATTCATCAGGAGAACCTGGGAAATTTTTCATATTCGAATCATTATGCTTTTATTATAGTAAATGCTAAAATGGCCACTATAGATCTTTTGAAGAATATAGAACAACCATCCAGGCATGGTGATGCATGCGTGTAATCCCAATGGCTCAGGAGGCTGAGACAGGAGGATCTCGAGTTCAAAGCCAGTCTCAGCAACTTAGTGAGGCACTTAGCAACTCAACAAGACCCTGTCTCTAATTAATGCAAAAAAGGGTTGGAGATGTGGCTCAGTGGTTGAGTGGCCCTGAGTTCAACCCCCAGTACCCCCAAAAATAAAAAAATAAAACAACCAATACAACCATTTAAAAAAAAAAGTAGAAAATGAATAACACTATTTTTCTCAATAAATGACAATAAGTTGGAACATACATATTTCAGGTTAATATTTTGTTCACTTAAGGTAAGTGAACTATTTCTTCTTCTATTTCTTCCTCTAGGAAGAAGAAATAGTTCTCAATAAAATAGGACTCTATCTATGGAGTTAGGAATAAACTATTCTGGTTATATCTGAACTTGGCTTTTAATCATTCTACTCCATCTCCTCTCAAATCAACAAATGTGATACTTCTGGCTTAGGCCTCATTCCATTCAATCTGTACAATCTTAACAATCTGTACAACACCACAGTTTTTCTCTTTCTTTTTCAGTCTCTCCTTCAATGACTTCCATGACACCAAAGGTTCTTGGTCTTCTGCTTTCTGCTTCATAGTTTCTTAGGTGTCTCCTCTTTTTGGGTCTAACGCTTTAAAGGAGTTGTGTTCCCATTGTTCTGAACAATAAATATGATCCCTAAGCAAATGGGTAATTGTTCACTTTCAACCCATTTCTAGAGTCATTAGGTCTATATTCAACTGCTCTTGGTATCTCCATATGGATGGATAACAATATATCTTTGAGAATACTTTATTCTCACCCTTTTTAACTCTATTCTGTACTGCAGAGAAAACCATTAGCTATTTAAGATTTTAGGATCTCCTTAACTCTTCCTTTATCATCTAGTAATCATCAAGTACATTCAGCTCTGAAATATAGGTAAAATCTATCCACTCCTTTTCACTCCTACTGATATAGATCACTATAATCTCACATATGAACCATAGTAATGGTAATAGGAGTCAAGCCAGTCATCCTGCCTCCATGTTCCATAAAACTGAAGTTTTCTTCCTGAAGCCGATAATACATATTACTCACCCAAATCTGTATAGACAACTCACCAAAGTAATGTTGTTGTCTCATGACCTTTCACTAAACACACACACTTTAGCATTTGTTCAACTTTATATTGTTTCCTTGCTTGCAATTGCTCTCTGCAGATGACTTGATAGCCCACATGACCTTCCTATATTGTGGGAAGGAGAACTAACACTACCCTTGAAATACATGGCAATTATCTTAGACTAGAGGTTAGTCACTTATTCACTAAAATCATATTCTCAAACTGTAGTTAATTATGACATGCATATTTTCTACACACAGAAATATGTTTGGAACCACCTTTGAAAAATATCTTTCAAGAGTAAGTGGGCCAAGCTGAGATTTTACAGAATAAGAAGAAAAAACAGCTAGGAAACTATACTTATAAATAATGAAAACAATTTCTTTAGGCAAAATATGTTAATTTCTCTGAATCAGTACCTAGAAAATAAATATTTCAGCCTTTGGGTAAGCTAAAGTAGGTTTTAAAATACACAGGACTGGAAATATGTGACCATAACCACTATTTACCATCAACACTGAATCATATTTGTAGAGCTTTTAAAACTAGATAAGACAACAGCTAAAAGACCCTAAAATATTTTTAATAGTTATAAAATACTTTGAAATTTATAAGCAAAATCAGACACAACTATTGGATTACTAGGTATCTAAAACAGTCCTAGTTTACTTTCTCTGCCACCTCTTCCCATCAAGGTCTCTTCCAAGTGGATCACAGTAAGTCATGGAGACCACTTACTATTAGATTTATTGGTCACACATTCAGTTTCAGAAAGTAAGCTATTAATTCCTTCTACACCAACACCATCGAAAGACTGATCTGGCAACAAACTATGTGGGCCACATGCAGTCCATTCACTGGACTGGGACAGGGGTGGGAAGTTGTAGGCAATTAAGTGGAACTGCTCTACAGGAAAGGCAGAAAAACAGCTAGTCTGAGGTATGACATTGGAGAATCCTCCACACAGGGGATAACTCAAGTACTAACTAGGGATGAGATTTCCAAGAATGACTACCCAGGTTAGAATTAAAGAACACTCACAATCAGAGGTGGTAGAAGTAATAAATACATGATTTTAAAAAGAAATATAGTGCTTTAAAAACACAAAACTTTTCATTATGGAAAACGGTAGTCATAAGTAGAAGAGTTCAATGACCACACCCCCACACCTCCATCCATTACTTATACCCCAGCTTTCAACAATTAAACTCTGGACAACTTTCTTTCATCTACACACCTTTCTACTCTGTCCTCTCTTTATGAGCCAGAAGCAACTTTTGAGATCATCTAGTTCAATTATTTCATTTTATAAACTGAGCAAACTCAATTCCAGAAAAGTCCAATGACTTGCTCAGAGATCACACAAATTAGAAGAGACCCATAAAATTACATTATAAAAAAGAAGAAAGGAATTTCACTGAGTCACAAAACAACTCAGACAGTTTGTGTGTGCTAGGTGAGACCTGAAAAGTTTCTGAAGAGTGACCAAAAGGCCATTCCTGGGGCTGGGGCTGTAGCTCAGTGGCAAAGTGCTTCTCTAGCACATGTGAGGCACTGGGTTCGATCCTTAGCACCACATAAAAATAAACAAATAAAATAAAGGCATCCAGTCTCTATAACTACAAAAAAACCAAACCAAAACAAAACAAAAAAACCCAAACAGGCCATTCCTGGCTTCTAGTATCTGGTCTCTAATATGAACCACAGGTCACACACTCCACACAGTCAATAGTTATCATCCTAAAACACTGTGGGCAAAACAATCCCCAATCTTTTCTTTATACTCTCCATCTGGGCAAATGTCATTCATTCACAAATGATTCTGAAAGCACAAGCTACTATTCTGAGCACATAGTGAACCAGATATACACTGTCCCCATCCTCCTATCTTAATGAAGTTCATAATCTAGTTGAGAGAAACAGCAAATAAGCTTATATATAAGCAATTATGGACTGTGTTAACCATAATGAAATAAATAGGATGTTATGAGAAAGGAAGGGCAGAATTCCCTATTTTAGATAGGATGGTCAGGGCAGGCTTCTCTGAAAAGGTGACATTTGAGAAGAGAACTTAGCAAAGAGTGAGGAAAGTGCACTGAAACTTCATCATTCGTCACACGTCTTTCAAAGTGGTTGATCACACGAGGGACACGCTGAGGGCAGAAAGCCAAAAGTCCCAGGGGATTATGGCCTGCTGTCTGCAGATATCACCATGACCCTTTAAGTTACAACAGGGCTTCTGAGTGGGAGCAAAGTGCTTTCCTTCTCATTTCAAGCCTATAGCTGGGACCTGAGGCTCTGGCATGCTAAGAGGTTTGTGGAACCCTAAGATTTAACTCTGCCCTCACATCCAGGAGAGGAGGATGGAGCACACGGTGTGGACCACTGGGGCCACAGCGCCAGGCTGGTTCACAGGTCTGTGACCTCTTCATGCTAGGCTATTCCCAAGGTCACTTCCTCCTCACAGTGAACCAGCCGACTTAGCCAAGGGCTCCCAAGGTTGCAGCCGGCCAGAGCTACAGCCTCGCACGTGGGCAAAATTAAAAAGAAAAGAGAGAATTTTCCCAAGGTGGGGTATACTACCTGTCAGGAGGCATGAGGAGAAAGCGTGCGGGGATGCGGCCATAACGCACGATTCTGGCCGCTCCCCGGGATCCCCGTGTCCTCTCTCCTCACCGGCTGCTGGGCGCCGCCATCTTGTTTGCCCGCCCCCTGTGGGAGCAGGGACTTCCGGCTCGTCACTTCCGGCGGGCGGGCTCTGCGGGTAAAGCTTGGTAGCTGCGGGGGTGATCTGGGCTGGTGATCTGGACCCCGGCAGGGATGAAGGGTCGAGTGCCCGAGATGCATTCGGGAAATGCGAGAAGCAGCCTGCATCGCTTATCCAGTAAAAGCAGCGGACAGCGGCTCCATGCCGGAATCTAGCAGGCATCCCGCGACCTGAGGTTACCCTCGGTGACCAGGTGCGATGGGCAGGGCTTGTCCGCGGCCTCCTCGAAGGCAGTTTAAATGTATGGTTAGGACACTTCCTGTGGACCCGGGCGCCGCGAATACAAGTTCGTGCGGCGACGCCTCCGCCTTCCTGTCTGCTGGGTTTCAGACAGCTGTACCACGTTCGCTGTCAGATGTGAGGCCGGATGCACTCGAGGTTCACATTAAGGGAACTGAATCATCACTATATATATATATATATAATATATATATATATATATATATATATATATATATATATATATATATATATATATATTATATACACACTTGTCAGGTGTTCCAGAGAATTACACAGTGTCTTTCATACGGGTACCCAGGCTCCTATTGCTCACAGACACTCATAAATTGTTATTATCTTAAGTATTGTGATTTGCTCAATCAAATTTTGCAGCAGCCCCCCATAGGTTTATCATGTTGGGGTTTCATAAGTAAAAGTACCTAAGTCAGTTCTTGTAAAGCAAGAGAGAAATAGATAACTGAGCTTTATAAAAGTATATATACTTTTTCTTTTGACTTGGAATTGAACCTGGAAGTTTTCTACCACTGAGCTACATCCCCAACCCTTTTTCTTTTTTATCTTGACACAGGGTCTCCACTGAGTTGCTGAGATTGTCCTTGAACTTCCAGTCCTTCTGCCTCAGCCTCCCAGGCAGTCAGGATTACAGGCATGTGCCACCATGCCCAACTGTGTACAAATAATCTTGAGGATTGAAATATGTTCATATTGATAATTTTTTCTTATTCTAAAATGAACCAGTTTTTTTTTTTTTTTTTTTGCTTAATTAAACCTACATTTCCTGGAAAGTTTTCTTAGAAAATGCTGTAGTTAAGTCTGTCCTTCAGTCATCCTAGATGAATAAAATTTTTGCAGATAGATCTCAGATATCCATGCAGCTTGACGTTTTCATAGAAGAAACTGAGGTTGAGAAAGGGTAAGTGATTCACTCTAAGCAAGGGAATTGGGACTCTAAACATATAGGTCAATGTTTTCCCCATCTCATATTTTCTTAGATTTTGTGTTATAAAACATAAGAACCTAGTGATACCACTTTACACCACTAGGATGACTAGAACCAAAAAAGTGAAAAAATAACAATTGTTGGTAAGGATGTGAAGAAATTGGAACCCTCACATATTGCTGATGGGAATATAAAATGATGTAGCCATTTTAGAAAACAATTTTGCTGATCCTCAATAGGTTAGTCATAGGGTAACCATGTGACCCAGCAATTCCTGTCCCAGGAATGTGCCCAAGAAGAATGAATACATGTATCCACGCAAAAATTTGGGTATAGATTTCATAGCATTGTTATTCATAATATCCTCAAAGTGCACACAATGCAAGTGTCCATCAGCTAATTCCTCCTTCATTTATAAAATGTGGTATATCCATATGATGGCCTGCTATTAAAGTGAAGATAAAATACTAATACTTGCTACAAAATTAGTGAACTGTGAAAACTATACTAAGTGAAAAAAGACAGTCACAAAAGACCATATATTGGAGGGGTCAATTTATACGAAATGTCCATAATACTCAAATTCATAAAGACAGATTAATGATTGTCTAGGGCCAAAAGAAATAGTAGAGGGAAAAGAGGAATAATTGCTAAGGAAGAGGATGAAAATGTTCCTAAATTGATGGTATGATGGTTATATAACTGAATGTACTAAAAACGTTGAGTTATGCACTTTTAATAGGTAAATTGTGTAGAGTGTGAACTTTCTCATTAATGCTATTATTTTAAAAACAAAAACAAATCTAAGAAAGAAGTAAGGAAAAACGAGGTGACAATTCTGTTGAACAACCTGTTTATCCTCTACCAATAACTATTCATCCCTTATGCAGATTAGAAGACATGACTGGATTGTCCTGAATAAAGACTCCTCAGCCTACCTTGCAGCCTGATTTGACGTTGTGACTAATTCTGAACAATGGGATACAATTAGAAGAGATGTGTTTTGACTTCTGTTTGTTCTTGATAGGAAAGTGCAAGTCCTTCCATGCTGGCTGGCATGCAGATGAAGTGGCTCGATTTTGAACAACATCTTGTACCATGAGGAGGTTCAGCAAAGCAAGAAGATGTGCAGAGCCTGGAGAACAACAACTTATGAAGCTGCCATATGAGCCTTGGGTTGGTTAGGTGAAGGAGAAATAATTTCTAACTAATACAGAGTAATTGGGGTTTTTTGTCACTTGCAGTACTATTTAATCTACACCAGTATACTATTAATGTAAATATAGATGAACAGCAAAGTTAAATGAGTTAATGTGGTTAACTCATAGCTTTTAAAAATGGCTTTGTGGGCTGGGGTTTTGGCTCAGTGGTAGAGCACTTGCCTGGCATGTGTGAGGCACTGGGTTCAAACCTCAGCACCACATAAAAATAATTAAACAAAATAAAGGCATTGTGTCCATGTGCAACAAAAAAAATATTTTTTTTAAATGGCTTTGTAGGTCCCTCCTATGCTATTTAGGGATGAGGGGATCACACAAAATCTGATGTGGAAAACAGCAATCATTGTATTTCATAGAAATAATTTTTAAAGATCACCTAACTCCCCTTATCCTCATTATTCACTACAATTGTTCATCATACTCTACTTAAGTTTCTCTAGGATAAGGATGTCCCTCTTTCCCAAAGAGAAATATAATAGTAAAAAGTTAGGAACAAAGATATTAATGAGAACTAATCATGTTGATTCTATGACTGCTATAAGCAGGGCTTTCTGCTGGTAGAGAGCAAAGAAGTATTGGAATAGTTCTCACAGAATTTACAGGCAGATGGGAAACAGGTGGAAAAGTCCCTTGCCCCTGTCCTCATATTGCAGTATCACAACCCTGATTGGCATTGCCAGCCAGTAAGGCTGCAGCACAATGGCTTGTACACTCCCAAGTCCAAGTACAGCATCAGAGGGCAGACTTGAAGGCCGGGGAGATAACTAATGTGAATTCTTCTTGAATAGATGTTCCACCTTAAGTGTACAGATTAGATTTTGCAGTCAGTGTTCTGTGAATTTGAGTAATGTAAGTCAGTTCCTCAGATCTCCTAATAGTTCCTTGGAAGTGACTGATAACATCAGGATAGAATCCTAGTCCAAGGTCACTTCAGGCATTATTATACCTCTGCTGTCTCCTCCAGCTGCCATTTTCCATTGTTACTCTCCAGAGCTCAATTCCATACATGAGTCTTGAGATGCCAAAAGTGAGAAGTACAGTTCAGAATACAGAAAAAGAAATGGCAACAAGAAAATGCACTCTAGCTACACACACACAATGACTAAATATACTTTCATTGTTATTTATTTATAATTCATGATCATAAGAAACATCATTGAAAGTAAGACTGGCAAATGCTAATATTTCAACTTTCTTTGCCTACTAAAAAAATTGCTATGTGCTTGATTTGGTGTTTTGCAGAAATCTTGACCAAGATTATTTTTAAAAATCACCATAGAGGTAATAAAAAAATGTATTTTTATCTTATGAGACTTAAAATCTCTAACTTCTAAAGCAAATTTGAATAAATTTCTACAGTTTTATACCTTAAATTATCCATGAAACTACAACTATTTATTGGAAATAAATCAAACATAAAATTTGAAATGTATATAATATATTATGAAGGCTTGAAAGTTTGTAATTACATACTAGTGCTTAAACAAAATAAATGTAATAAGAAATAAAAGATAAAATATAAAAAAAAAAAGAAAATGCACTCTAGCAAGTTCTATTCACTACCATAGTTTTCTGCCTTTTCAATAAACAGACCTTGTTAAGGGAAACAAAATACCCGATCCTGGGAGATGAATCATGCTGCTTTAGGTCAATCAGCACAATCTCATTCTAATTTACCTGCCTACACACTTTCCCAGAGTTCTTATAGTAGGGCTGGTTATATTACTCCATTCTGTCTTGAGAGAGAAAAGCCTGCTGGAGAAGTTTTAGGCAATGGTTTTGTTTATCACTGAAAGAACTGGACTATGAAGGGAGGTACTTTCTCTGACTTTCCTCTTCTTTTCTCAGGAAGAAAAGCTGAGAATGCAATTCCTGGAGCTGAGACAGCCTTCTTCCAACTATTCGGTAACGATCATGAAGACAGAAAATATGCTGAGGAAGGCAGAGTGGAAAAAACAGCCTAGTTTCTTGAGGAAATTGCTGAGCCATTGCACCAAGTCAAGAACATATATCTTTAGGTGTATTGCTATAGCATATTGTGATGGATAAGCTACTATTTGATGTTCCGATCGTTGCATCTTGGATGATATGATAGTTCCATGAATGGCACAAGGAGTTGAGCAACAAGGCATCAAATCTTATTCAGCAGATAACACGGAAAAACAACTATAATTCAGTCAGCTATCCAAAAAAGGATATCATGTTTAACAAAAATAAAGTGAATTTGAACATGGTGGCTAGTTGTTGTCATGGATTTAGGCTGTATTTTGGAATACTAATATGGCATGAATCCATAATTGCTTAACTCAAAAATAAAAGCCATTCTGTGCATATTTGTTCCTGTCTTGTTTCTTCCTATTTACTGTGTGCACAATTTCCTTGGTGATGTCAGAATGCCCAGTTTCCCACATCAGGAAGGTATCTTTTGTTCTCTCTCAGCATCTTGAGGCCTAGAGTAGAATATGGAAAATTTTTAAATACTACTGATTGAAAAAAGTTATAAACCACACTTAGAGATAAATTTTCTATTAGCTGTAAGGAACTCTTTTTTTTTAAAGTTCGGGTGCATATTTGTTATGGTTTTTTTGTTGTTGTTTGTGAGGACCTCTTACAAAATGGTTCTTATGTATTCTGGTAAGTGACCTTTGAATATTATGAAAAAAGAGAATTTCAAACTACAAGTTTTGCTAAAGGCAAATTAATAATCTCAGGTACATTATATTTTCAGCAACAATCATTAAGCTACTAGGAAAGCATGAACATCACTTCTGAAATCGGTTCTTATCTATGGACATTCTGTCTACATCTGTACCTTTAACACAAATTAGCAACAGAAGATGATTTTTTTTAATTGTTAATGTATAATTGCAAAAATGCACCATTTCTCTGGTACTGTACTAACAATAGTACTTTATCATGACAACTCATTCACTGTGGAAGAACCCCAATATCTACTATTTTCAGATTAGCTGGAGGCCTTAAAAGATTGAATAATTTCCCCAAGTTCACATAGATAAAAAGTTCCACATCTAAAATTTCTCTTGTTTTATGTATTACAAATTCCTCATTATCAATTTTTTTCATGCTAGTATAGAATTTCCCATTTCATCAAATCAGTGAAGTTGTTGAAGTTCAGCCTCAAAAAAAAAAAAACAACTTTTTTTTTTTTCCCCTCACTTTGTTCACTTCCCTTTGATCCAGTTTCCATAGGTATAAAACAGGGATACTAATACCAGGTCTACCACCTAAATTACATTGTACTTTCAGTACTTAATCATGAGAGTCCATAACTGGACACCTTCAAACAATACCACTTCAGAGGCCTACCCAAGACCTACTAAATTGAAAATCTTTAGTGGTGGGCCTGATAATCCAAAGTTAAGAGAAATAACTTCATTGCTTTATTCACATCAAACTTTATTCAAAAATTCCAAAAAAGGAAGTATTTCCAGGAGAGAGCTATCCAAGGAAGGTGATAGAAGTAGTAGCAGTGATGGTAAGGATGATAACCCCTTCTTTATTAGAATGTGCAAATCTACATATCTTCTTCTGTTTACTCATATTTAATCTTCACAAGAATCTTAGACAACATTTTTTTAAAAAATTACAAATAGTTTTTTAAAGTAATTTTATAGGTAAAGTAATCAAAGTTCCAAGTGCTTGAGAACTTTTTTATCTTGGTTCCCTAGGTCTGCTATAATGAAGTATGGCAAACAGTGACTTAAAACAGCATGTATATTATCTTACTATTAAGGAAGCTAGAAATGGTCTGCTGTCTTAGCAGCCTCTACAGAAGGATCCTTACTTTCCCCTCCCATCTTCTGAAAGTCCCCAGGCATTCCTTGCTCATTTATTCTTCAAGAAGTTTGGAATTTGGGATGTAGCTCAGTGGTGGTGTGCTTGCCTAGCATGCACAAGGCCCTTGGTTCTAGCCCCAACACTGAAAAAATAAAAATAAAAACAAATGCCAGTCACATTGTGTTATTCACTCCTTACAACCTTACCTTTATTTGATTACATCCACGAACACCCTACTTCCAAGCAAGATCACATTCACGGGTTACTTAGTGTTAGAACTTAACATATCTTTTGGGGAAATGGTTCAACTTGCATCTGCCTAAAGAAACAGTGGCTGAGAAAACTAGAAACTAGATGTTAGAGTTGGGCCTATTGGGCATAAGCCACCACATGTTCTGTCAGTGGCATGTGCTTGGAGGAGACATAATGTCTTGAGAAAAGTGAAAGTGTAGTAAGTGGGGAAAAAACTCAATTATTTAGCAAAAATTTAGGAGAGAAAAAAAAAAACCTTTGGGTTGGTCTCAGACATTTGCTCTGCAACCATTAGGTGCTAAACGATCCCCCAGGTTGTTTTTCTTCCCCATTTCTCCCTGCTTGGGTAGGGGGTTATGAGCTAAGACCATTACAACCAGCAATTTGTCTTTCAGTGGGATGGGCAGGCATTCCCAGAAATGCAAGGGCTCAGAAAATATTCCACTAATTGAAAAACTATTTGAAGATACATTCCGGTGGTTTATGGGGTTTGGGATTATATAGACCAGAAAAAATCTCAAAAATAATTTGGTAACCAGCATAGGGTTGCCAACTTTGAGCATTATAAGAGTGTTTAAAGCAAATGAAAGTACCATCTAATGTTGTAATCATTTTGTAAAATATCACTTTAATGCCAAAAATTATTAAAAGAATATAATCTGATAGCTATTTAATTGAATAATTTAGCTTTATAAAAAGATACCATTATTTAATATCAGTTTGCCCCAGAGTATTAAAGAACTTCTTCCATAGATAAGATCTTATCCATGAATGGGTGTTTTGAAATCCCAGAACTGACAGGAGCACAAAGAAGGACACGAATTGAAAATGAGCTTTGGCTAGCACTCCGTGATTTATGCAACTGAAGGAAAAATATTATTTGAAACTGACTGTAATCATTTCCATTTTCTAAGAAAAGTTTCAGTGGGGAAATAAATCTTTGCAGTGCTACTCCCACATACAGAGGATGGTGGAGAGTCAAGAGAAGATAACTTGTTCCCTCAACCCACATCTGGGTTTCTAGTTAGTGTTTTCCAAATGCTTATGAAATTTTCTATGAAAGGAACCCATGTTTAAAGTGATGATGTGGACTCACATATTTAATTAATTTTCCCAAGTTCTTTATGAAAAGAGCACATCTGCATTTGAAACTGGGCACTCTCTATTTGTCTGCAATTTCTAGGAATTTCTATAAATTAGAGTATGGGTGAGATTAAATCAAGAAAAGTTCCATCCGTCTGTGATTCATGACATGTATAATGGGTGAGATCTATCTATAAAAAAAGATGAAAGATCATTAAGCAAAATTCAATCAATACCTTCCTCCAGGATCTTAGTGCAAAAGGGACTGGGAGTTAAGACAACCAGAATCTGGAGATGAATGCACAGAGACTATGGGGTGAATGAATTCTCTAGCTGAGAAAAACAGGGTACTTTGCAAAACTGGCTTAAAACTAAGGAACCCAGTGGCAATTGGAGAGATCTTCCCTGAAGCATTGCCCTGGAACCTAACCAATCAAGAGCTATAATTATAAACAGGAATAGCCGCAGTCAGGGACAGCAATAAATTTCTTACCCCAAACCTTCTCACTCTCACCTCCTAAGTTAATGGACTTCCTATCTGTTATGATGTAATAATATGATAAATCAAAACGTGATAGTCTCCATTTAAGAGCAAGGTCTCTGAACTTCGCCTAGATTTAAACCCAAGCTCCTCTATTGACTAGCTCTGTAACTAATATTGGCAATCCCTTTGGTGCTTCAACTAACTACTTCAACTAACTCATCTTTTAGCAGAGACCACAACAGTATTACATCAAGGGATATAGAGGAGGGAAAATTTATCTGGGGCTCACAGTTTCAGAGGTCTCAGTCTATAAATGGCAGACTCCTTGCTCTGAGCCTTAGGTAAAACAGAAAATTAAGGTGGAAGGGCATGGTGGAGGACAGCAGCTCAGGATATAGCAACCAGGGAGTGGGGAGAGAGAGAGAGAGAGAGAGAGAGAGAGAGAGAGAGAGAGAGAGAGAAAGAGAGAGAGAAGTCTGCGCACTGTGGACAAAATATAAACCCAAAGGCATGACCCCAGTGACGTGCTGTCTCCCCTACCTCCCCCTACCTGTCTATAGTTACCAGTTAAAACATATCAGTGGATTAATCCACAGGTTAAGTTATACCACTCTTAATCTAATATTTTCAACTCTGAAAAGCCTTGAATTTTCTCATATACACTTCATCTAAACCATAACAAAGGGTTGGCTTGTTTGTTTCAAGTTCTGAGGGTTGGTGAGTTAATGAAAAATTGATGAGTTAAGTAAATCAAGCAAATCATGTACTTAATACCGTAATCAGAAGGTACTGTCCATGCAACACAATAATTGGTAATATTGTTATTACCAATATTATTGCCAACATCTACTCTGAAGTAGATTTTATTATGCCCATTTTATAGACAATGAAACCAAAGTTCAGAATGTTTTTAAAAGGATGTTTAATTTCAAAAATTAAGTGGTAGATTAGAGTTTTGAAGCCAAATCCGATTTAAAATTAGTCATTTTTCCTGGAAGTTGGTGCTTAAAACAACAGAATTTATTTATTTATTTATTTATTTATTTATTTATTTATTTATTTATTTATAGTTCCTGGGGGTCAGAAGTAATAAATAGATCTCATTGGACTAAACTCAGGATGTTGGCTGTGTTCCTTCTGGAAGCTCTAAGGGAGAATTTGTGTCTCTGTCTTTTCCAGTTTTTAGAGGCTGCCACACACATTCCTTGGCTTGTGGCCCCCTTTGTCCATATTCAAACCCAGCAATGGCTTGAGCAAGTTGCTCTTACAGATACATCCCTCTGAAACTGACTGCTCTGCCTTCCTTTCTTACTTTTAAGGATTATACTGGTCCCACTTGGATGATCTAGGTTAATCTCCCTATTTTAAAGTCAGACGATCAGCAACCTTAATTCCCCTTTGTTATTTAACCAATCACATTCACTTGTTCCTGGAAATAGGACATGAACCTCTTTCAGGGACCATTAACTTGTCTGTCACAGAGCCTACATATACATCACTATATTGTTTAAAGCCCTTTATCCCTAAATCTGAGAAAGATTCCAGTACAGACTTAAATCTGAGAAAGCATTTGCTATGGTTTGGACAAGAATCCTCCAAAGGCCCACATCTTAAAAGTTTAGTTCCCAACCTATAGTGCTATCAAGAGGTGATGCTATCTTTAAGAAATGGGCCAAGTGGGAGGTTTTCCAGTCACTAGAAACATGCCCTTTCA